CTAAACCTTAAACCCCTAAAACCCAAAACCGTTTTTGAAGCGCGAACGCAAAGACTTCCGCCTTCCGGCCTGCAGGTGACGGCTTACCAGGCGCGCATTGTCCTTGGCTGCAGAGCCCTCAACCTTGCAACTTCGACCCCTTAAAACGCTGCACCCGAAGCCCTAAACTTCCCTGAACCCTTGAACACGTCCACCACGCCTTTCAAAAGCCCCCTTAAACCCCAAACCCTAAACCCTAAACCCTAAACCCTAAGCCCTTAACCCCTTAAGCCCTAAACTATAAGCTCCGCCGGTGGGCCTTTAACGTGAAAGAGCCGCCGCCCCAGGGATCGTAGGCCTAGGTCTTTGGGCCCGGTATCCTAGCAGTCCTAGCTTCCAGCTCGGTTCTGCGGGGTTTGGGTTTTGGGTGTGGGCCCGCAAGGGTTTAGGGTTTAGGGTATAGGGGTTTAGGGGCCTGTAAGGGTTTAGGGTTTAGGGTGGAGTTTAGGATAAGGCTGTGATATAGGGGTTTTAATTTGGGGCTTAGGGTTCAGGGGCTAAGGCCCTGCAGAGACCCAGGCCTTCCGCGGGTTTTTGTGGAGCTTGCACCACCGACGGTAAACCTCGAACCCTAAGCCCCGCACTCCTTTTGCGTAACCCTTTTTGGGCACCCATAATTAGACTCTAAGCCTTATAGGTTTCGGTATCCCCGGTAGCTCCGATTCCGACTCCTATGCTTCAGAGTCCAAACCCCTAAGCCCTAAACCCCTAAACCCTAAACCCCTACCCGTAAACCCCTAGACCCTAAACCCTAAACCCTGAACCCTAAACCCAATGTTCCAGGAGTTGTGGGCTCTATCAGACGTGACTTCTGGGGGTTAAGGGTCAGGTTTTTGAGGGTCGACCTAGAGTCTCCATTCTAGTTCCTTTCTTTAGGGTTTAGGAGTTTAGAGTTTAGAGCTTAGGGTTTAAGTGTTTAAAGTTTAGGGTTTAGGGTTTTAGAGGTTCAGAGTTTAGGGTTTTGGGGTTCTTTTTTCGTTTTTGTGTTTGAAAAACCCATGCAAGATAGGTCTACCAAGAGAAGGAGCTACCATGGAGACTATAGGAGGGTCTCCGTCAGATGGGTTGTGTGAGAAGCAAGCAGGCCGCTCACGTGGTCTTCACCACGAGTGTAACCGTCTCCGTCAAGGACCGCGGACGCGCCTCTTAGCCCCCCCCGGGACCCTGAACTTTAAACCCTAAACCCTAAACCCTAGACCCGAAACCCTAAACCCTAAATAAGGACTAAAGCCCACAGCCTCAGACATAAACCCTGATGTTAGGGAACCCGAATAGGGCTTCTTCGGGTTGTGGAGGATTCCCCCCCAAAATGGGGTTGGGCTTAACCACGAGGGGTTCCCTCGCTCGAAGGAGGAGACATAGGAGAGAAAGCGGCTTTAAAACCCTAAACTTTAAACCCTAAACCCTGGACCCTAAACCTTCAACCCCAAGCAGACAGAAGTCGGGCTTGGGCGTCTCGGCAGTTGTCGGTGCCGGTCATCTTTTCAGTCCCTATAGGTTTTAGGGTTTAGGGTTGTGGGTATCGCGCAACATCGTACTTCAAAGTCCTGTTCCAGTTACTATCCTAAAGCACCGCTCTACTTATTCTGGCCCTATACCTGGAGACCCCCTTTATGTGCTTACAAGGCCTTTGTAGAACCCTTTGCAGAAGCATGTTCAAGAACTTCACAAGGAATCCTCTTCTAGTTATTGACGCCCCTTTCTCATGGTTCACCAGCGAGCTGCCCCAGAGACTCCGATATCAGGTTCTGATTTGAGGCGAGAAGAAGCCCTCTAAATTGGTCAGGGCTCATTCCCCAATGAAGCGCACTTGAAGTCTCTGGGAAGCTCCCGTATTTAGGGCTTTCAGCTGAGCTCTATGCCCGCTGTTTCTGGAGGACCTGACCTACGGGGCTATGCCAGTGGTTTTCACGACGGCCACTACCTTTCCGCTCAGGCTCCGTCATGGTCATGTCTGGAATTGGTTCGGGCCCCAAGAATATGAAGACTCGGATTCAAAACCTAAATTTCAGACCCTACCTGGACCCCCAAAGTATGCAGAATGATAGCCTTTTTTAGGTGTTGGGCCATTATTTTACCTACTTGCAATCTCCATTGTGTAGGACCCAATGCCAGAGGAAGTTGAATCGGAACGACCGATTAACATCTAGAGGTCTGAGTATTTAGTGACAAAAAGCTCCGTATATATAGATAGTATTTTGTACCCTCAAAGAGAGCATCAGTCAAGGTGCCCTAAGCCCTAGACCCAAACCCTAAACCCTTAGCCCTTAGCCAGAATCCCCACGCAGAGCGAAAGCGGCGCTCAGATAAAGCTTGAATCCGAAACCCTAAAATAAATACCGACATTATTCCTCAGGGCTCCTTGCTGTATTATCCTTGTTCGCAGCCCCCCCCGACCCGATTTCTAAAGGCGACAAAGCGAGTGGAACTCTGAAGGTAACGGAACGAAATGTTCAAACCAAGCAGCCCTAAGGCAGGAGGCCATAGTAATTGGAATAGGGTTTTGGGGGCTTCTTATTATAATTATAGTAGAATATACCCCCCGACCCAAACCCTCTTCTAATTCTTAAGGCCCCTCTATTACAGCGAACCACTGAAAGTTGGAACATGGAGTCGTGGGGTTCCCGGTTTATTTTGGCCTGAAGGGCATGAGGACACTGATGTTCCAACTTTCTGGCTTCTGCTTGATTCTACATTAAACACCAACTGAAGTCGAGTCCTTGTGTATGAACTTTCCTTTCCACGTTTTGCCCTGGTAGGGGTTTTGGGTTCACGCTGCACGGGCGTAGAGGACTTAGCTCTTAGGGGTTTAGGGTGGGCTAGGGCTTTAGAGTCGGGTGGTTTGCCGCAAGGGTCCGCTCGTGTGATTAGCGTTGAAGAGCCTAACTCGAAGCCCCAAATCGCGAATCCCTTGAGAACCCTAAGCCCCAAACTCTAAACCCTAAACCCCAAAACTCACAAAAAGCCCTGGTGAAGGAAGACAGCTGGGCATTGGTCGAACTTGGCGTTGCCACGCTGCATCTTCTGAATTTGAAACCCAAAAACCTTCGCCGAAGACATGTGTCTTATACGGTTTTTCATGAGGGCTGTGTGGCCTGTCACCCGCCCTAAACCCCAAACTCCAAACCCTGGGGCATCGAGAGAATATGCCCTACCACCGTTTTTAGGGATCCCTGTATAGTTGGACCCCAAACCTCTAAACCCTAGACCCTAAACCCTAAGCCCTTGCTGCTAACAACCCCCTTTAAACGGCAACCCTAAACCCTAAGCCCTAATCCCCTAAGCCCTAAACCCCTAAACCCTACACCCCTAAACCCTACAACCCTAAAGCGCCACACTCTCACCTCCGCCCCCCAAGGCTAAACAACCCTCACCCTTCAACCCTAAACCCTGCAACCCTACAGCCCTAACTTGCGGCCTTTAACCCCCTAACCCCCAAACCCTCAACCCTAAACCCTAAACCCAAAACCCTAAACCCTCAACCCTAAACCCTGAACCCCCAAATCCTACACCACTGCAAGCCCTACTCCCCAAGGCTAAACTGCGCTCCAAAGAGCTCTTGGCTACAGCTTGATGCTGCCACGGGAAGCCTCACAGCGTCTGCTGAGGCTGGGGTGAGGGTTTAGGGTTTTGGGTTCAGGGTTCAGGGTTCAGGATTCAGGGTTTAGGGTAGACGTGTTCGAGGGGAATATAGGGTCGAATAAATAGTAATGGGGTCCATGATATCAATTGAGAGGTTCAGGGGTTTTCATGTTTCGGGAAAATCGTCAAAAAGGGAAATTTGTGTACAGGGTTGTTACGGTTCAGGCGGTTTATGGGCGTAGTTTCAGAGGGAAGGTTCAGCATCTTTAAACTCTAAACGCAAAACCCTCAACCCACAAGCGAGGCCCTACTGACTAGGGCCCTGTGATTTGGGGTCCCCTGAGTCGATTGCCTAGGGCATGCATCAATGAATCACCAGCCCCGACGTTGAGACTCTCATCACCATCGTCACCATCGCCATGTGCATCAACTTGGGGCCTCTTTGGGGGCTTCAAGTGGGGTTTCTTTTTGCGGCTCAAAACCCTTTATGCCACTGAACAAGCCCGGCTTCCAAGCAAACCCGGGGCCACCCACCAAAGGATGCACTCTCTTCGATGCTGAGTGAATTTGGGCTTAGATTTTCGGGCATAGGGCTCAGGGGCTTGGGTTTTAGGGTTGCGGCCTTATTCCGGACATCCCTTAGCCCTTAAACCCTAAACCCCCGGAAGCGGCTTTAGGCTTTTCCTGTTCTGGAAGCGAGGCGTTCGCCTCCGGCGCGGTGGACAATGTCCAAGACGTTTACGAAGGGCAAATGGGCGGCGTCTGTGACGCTTGGCTGTTTTTTTTGGCTTAGGGTTTAGGGTTTAGGGTTGGGGGTTTAGGGCCTTAGGGTTTAGGGTTCAGGGTTTGGGGTTTGGGAGTGTATAGGGGGCTTGAAGAACTGAAGCTTTAGGGTTCCTTGACGAACTTCCGGACTGATAGAATCCAGGCCTATTCTGATTACTACAGTAAGGGCTCCGCCTTAGGATCAGCGCCCAAGGGCGTGTGGGTAGTTCTCTAAGTTAGGGTCCCCTTTTTTAGGTAGCCAATATAGTACGGCACCCTTATAAAAAGGACCCCTTCTAGAAACACCTATAGATCCCTTTCAGGAACCCCAAAAAGGACCAGATGCCAACGAAGGCACCCTAAACCCTAACAAACCCTTAAACCCGAAACCCCTGAAACCCTAATCCTTTATAAAACCCCAAAGCCCTAAACCTAAAACCCCTTAAGCCTTAAATTCCTAAAGCCGGGGCCATCAAGTCCTATCTCAAAGTTGGCATCCCAATCCCGGGCCGCCGCAAACCCTAAAGCTTGAACCTTTTGCCATAGGGATCAGAGAAACTGGTAACTCGTAGTAGGATTCCTCAGATTTCCTTATGAACCTATCTGATAATAGTACAATATACCCCAAACCCGAAACCCTAAA